AAGATGCATTGCTGGAAATGAGCAATGTATAAGAGACCCAGTTACAGCCACAGAGAGAGATTCTTAATGGACTTGTGGAATGGTGGCTTGAGTACTAAATGAGAATCCAGTGGGAATTAAGTTAGTTTGTTCTCATTTTGATTTGTTTTTGCCAGGATAATAACTGTCATCTATTGGTCCTTGGAGCTGAGCTCAGGACAGTTATGGATTTGGTTTTTTTTTGGTTTTTTTCTTAATGTTTTTTAATGTTAATATGAGTAATTTTATTTTTTTTTTAATTTATAAATCATGTTTATTCTATTACAGTTGTCTCAATTTTTACCCCTTTACCCCCCCCCCCCCCAAGCGTATCCCCACCCCACCCCCCACTCCCACAGTCAGTTCCCACTCTGTTGTCCATGTCCATGGGTCATTCGTACATGTTCTTTGTCTAGTCCCTTCCCCTTCTTTCCACCATTATCCTCTTTCCCCATCCCCTCTGGTCACTTTCAGTCTGCTCCATGTTTCCATGCCTGTGGTTTATTTTGTTCGTTAGTTTATTTTCTTGAATAGAGTCCACTTATAGGTGAGATCGTATGGTATTTTTCTTTAATCAACTGGCTTATTTCACTTAGCTTAACATTCTCTAGTTCCATCCATGTTGTCACAAAAGGTAGGGCTTCCATTTCTTCCTTCCTTCCTTCCTTCCTTCCTTCCTTCCTTCCTTCCTTCCTTCCTTTCTTCAATGCAGATTGACTTCATTTATTCTTTAAATGTCTAAGTTAATTATATTAAAAAATTTAAAACCGTTATAAAGTCTTGGCAATTAAACGAGCATGACACCAGCACAGAAATAATCAAGTAGATCAATGAAATATAATGAGCATTCTAGAGACAAATGTATATATCTGTCTAACAATGTAATATATGCTTAAGTTGATAATTCAAATCAGTGGTTAAAATAAGGCTTATTCAACAAATAAGGTGCATGGACCACTATTACTTGAAATAAAACAAATATAGAGCCCTATTTCACACATTATACAAGAAATATTCAGGTGAATTAAAAATCAATATGTAGAATCTAAGGAGTTTTAGGAGAAATACAAAATAATATTTTTCATGACCTAAAGTAAAATATTCAAACACAGAAGCTATAAAATAAAATATTGACAATATGCCTATATTAAACATTTAAGACTGTACAGTAATATACGTATAAAAAAAGTTAAAGGACACGTAATAGAGTAGGAAAGTATTTGCAACACATCTAAAAAAGGGTTAATGGTTTGTTTTGTTTTTTTAGGGAAAAAAATTCTATAAATATTTAATCAAAAAATGGATAAAAAATACCCAAAAGTCATTTACAGCTTTTTAAAAAATAATAGAAATAGGCAAGAAATACACAAAAACAGATTTAGTTTCAACAAATAAAGGAATAATTAAAATAACACATCATTGTCACAATCAGATTAAAAACGTATTAAAAAATGTTGATAATACCAAGTATTGGCAACTGTGAAAGGCACTGGATATTCATAGACTCTTTTTCTTCATTTTCTTCAAGCAGTCCCTTTAGCATATTTTGCAGTGCTGGTTTGGTGGAGGTGTATTCTTTAGCCTTCTTTTATCTAGGAAACTCCTTATTTCACCTTCCATTTTAATTGAAAGCCTTGCTGGGTAGGGCAGTCTTGGTTGCAGGCATTTGCTTTTCATGACTTGGAATATTTGTTGCCATTCCCTTCTGGCTTGCAATGTTTCCGTTGAGAAGTCAGCTGCTAGCCATATTGGGGCTCCCTTATATGTTATTACCTCTTTCTCCCTTGCTTTAGGATTCTCTGTTTGTCTTTGATATTTGCCATGGTGATGTGTCTTGGAGTGGGCCTGATTGAGTTACTCTCGAATGGGACCCTCTGTGCCTCCTGGACTTGTGTGACTTTTTCTCTTCTCCAGTTAGGGGAGTTTTCCATCATTACTTTTTCAAACAGGTTCTTTATCCCTTCCTCATCCTCTTCTCCTTCAGGTATCCCTATTATATGGGTATTATTATGTTTCAAGTTGTCCTGCATTTCCTTAAATGTCTCTTCATTCTTTTTTGAGTCTTTGTTCATTTTCTTGCTCCTTCTGGGAGCTTTTTTTCCTACCTTGTCTTCCAGTTTGCTTATTCGTTCCTCTGCTTCATCTAACCTGATTTTGATTCCTTCTACTGTGTTCTTCAATTCAGAAATTGTACTGTTCATTTCCTCTTGTCTTTTATTGATAGGTTCTATGTCCTTTTTCATGCTGATATAGTTTGCAGTAGGTTCCTTGTAGTTTCCCTGTAGTTTTTGGTAATTCTTTCTGAGCTCACTGAGCTCATTGAGCTTCCTTAGAACCGTTGTTTGGAACTCAGTATCTGATGGTTAACTAGCCTCTATTTCATTTAGTTCTCTTTCTGGGGATTCCTCCTTTCCCTTCGAGTGGGGGGTATTTCTTTGTCTTCCCATTATTTGTGAGACTCTTCTCTTTTGCTTCTGATTATAAGTTGATCTGTCTTTATTCCCTGACTTTGTGGTGTGAACTTCTATGGTTGGAGACTGCTGTTTTTACATTCTGGATCTGCCTCTGATGATGTCACATGTCGTCCATATCTGATCTTAGGCAGTCTGTTCGAGACTTCCAGTAATCTGCTGTTTGTGGTTGTCTCCTTCGGCTGTTAATCTAGTCACTCTGCACTCAGCAGGCTGGCTTAGACAGCTCAAGGCGGAACAGAGTCCCTCCTGGGGGTGGGGTTATTGGGTCCTCTCTAGTTGCAGCTGTATGGGGGAGGAGTCAGCACTGGGATCCCAGTGGCAACTCTCTCCGATTTCTCCCCAAAGCCTCCATCCCCGGTCTCTCCTCGAGTGTCTCCAGACCTCTTTGTGCCCGCTTTATCCAGGAATCTTCTATCTGTGGCTACCACTTTGCACCAGCAAGCAGCTTAGATAGCACAGGGCGGGGTGGAATCCCACCTGGAGGTGGGGCTATTGGGTCCTCAACTGTTAGTAACGCTCAGGGGAAGTGGTCTCTGCCTGAGCAAGATGGCTGCTGCTGCATGGTGGATGAGTCAGCACCGAGATTCAGTGGCTACTCTCTCAGTTCTTGCCCCAAAGCCTCCTTCCCCAGTCTCTCTTCAGGTGTATCTAGGCCACTCTGCCCCTCCCTTTGCCAGAGACCAGGGTAAGTGGCTGCAAATAAAAATGTATGCGTTGGCCCTTTAGAAGGCTTTTGCGTCTCCAGCCGCCTGTCTCTGGCAGAGAGCAATCCTGCTGCTTTTCGTACCTGGCTTTTTTCTGTGTACCTTTTGGGCTCTGGTGCTATAGGCTATAAATCCCCACTTATTGTTTAGACCACGCTCTTCTGAGTGGGATCCAACTGGCCGTTTCAATATCCTTCTGGCGCTGCTCCGTTGGTACCCCGCCTGCCTTCTCGAGTCTGTACTGCACTCCTTACCAGTTAGATTGCGCTAAAGCTGATTCTACTGTCTCCGAGGTTACAAGGCTTCTCTCGCACTATTGTTTAGTTGTTTGTTTTAGGTCATTTCTCGACAATTTAGTTGTTATTCACAGTTGTGCCTGGGAGGAGGTTAGTGTAACTTCCACTCCTGCCATCTTGATTCCCTCTTCTGGTGTTTTTATCATTGCTCCATTAGGTAGCAACAGTGAAGTATAGCCAGAAATTTTTATGATAATGTCTACACTAAGATCTCAAAACTATATAGAGAAATGTGATCTTTATGGATCTTACAAGTGAGTAAAATCCGTAGATGAGGCTAGGTATACAAGCCGTAAACTGAAACTGAATAAAACCTAGAAATAAAAGCAGATTTAAAGAAGCAAAATTATTTTGGGAAGAAGTAAGCTATTAGATTGAAGTGAGAAATGTATGTCTTGATGGTTAAGACAATTTTATTAAGAGCTGTGACGAAACAAAATGAAGCTGGGCCATGACCAGAGGTGGTCTGATACTCATCTGCGTTGTATTTTGTGTGAAACATTTGTGTTCTGGTGAATCACAGCTAGATAGAGGGTTGGAATCTGGTGTAAACCAGTGCTCCTTAAAACATAAGGAAATAGATGCTTTCAGAAATTTATATTGATTTTGTTATATCAAATGGGGAGAAAATGGAATGGCAACATGAATATTAATGAGGATCTTACCATAGTAATCAGGCTGTGAGAAGATAAGGACATAAACCATGATCTGCCTCTGCCAAACCAAATATTCCTCAAACTTGTTTTTCAGTCTCTTTTCCTTAAAAAACAAAAACAAAAAAATAACTTCCCTTGTTGAACTCATCCAATTTTCTGAGTTTCTTGCTTCCTAAATAGACAATGCTCAGAAAACCTCTATTGTGTGTTCACCATGTCTTGAGTTTATTTCACCTTTTCAAACTTGCCTCATGTAGCATTTTTTTTTTTAATAATTATTTTTTGTGAATTAAATTAAAGGAAAATCTAGGTCCTAGGTTTTAGGACTATTTTTTTGAACCTGAGTAAGTTGTGTTTTCAGAGCTCTAGTTTGGTATTGGTGTCTAGAGTAGAGGCATGTATTCTAGTAAAAATCCTAACTCAGTAAGCTGTGTATGATGGAATTAGGACTAAACTGTTCTCCTTTACCGAACGTAATTCATCCTCTTAAGGTCCTTGTCCACTAATCTTCACTGTCACTTTATTCAGTGTTTAATGTCTCTTTTGGGTTCACCCCATTCTCTTTGAGTTTCTGTGTTTCTGAATCAGCCACTCCTCAGTTCCCTGTGCTTTGTATCCAGTTTTGAAGTTTTATATGTGTTAAATGCCATTGACAGTTTCCTTTCACTGTTGCCACTGCAGCATTTTCCACTGAAACCAGAAGGGTAAAAATGTATACTTGGATTTAGTTCATACCGGGAAACTGGACCTAAAACAAAAAAATTGACTATATAATAAGACATTTATTTAAAAGTCCAGTTCCATTAGAAATATACTGACATTCATACATGTGGTTATTTTTCTCATTTCTAGAAAACTGGGAAGTTGATTACCTAATAGAGAGCAGCCAGGAAAATCAAGATGAACATTTTTGGCAGTTTGCGCTCACCACCAACAAAACATTAAGTGGTGATAGAGTAAGGAAAACTTTCGGTCTGGGTACAGACTGTGTTCCTTCAAGAAATGTTTCAAATGAGATATGTGACACTTGTGAAATGAATTTAAAGAATATTTCAGGCTTAATTATTAGTAGAAAGAACTATTCTGGAACAAAGCCTGGTAAGTTTAATTTATATGAGAAATTGCTTTTTGATATTAGGCATGATAAAATTCCTACTGGAGGGAAATCTTTTAACTATAATCAAGAAAGGAATATGCTCAGTCATGTCCAGGATCTTACTCAGCCAATTATTGACAAGACTTTCGAGTATACTGAAAATGGACAAGGCTTCCAAGAGGAGGCAGTGTTTTTCTCAAACAGGAAAGCTCAGATAGGAGAGACACTCTGTAAATATAAAGAATGTCAAAGAGCCGTCATCCAAAGTTTGAAACTCAATTTATCTCAGAGAACTCATTTGAAAAGGGAACAATATGAATGTAGTATTTGTGGGAATTCCATCTGTATGGATTTAAGATTGGGACATCAAAGCGCTCTTACAGGGGAGAATCCTTACGAATATAATGAATATGGGCAAATTTTCTGTGATAATTCAGCTTTCATTATCCATCAGAGAACTTATGCAGGAAATATTCCCCATGAATATAACGTAAGCCACAAAACAGAGAGGAAATCAGCTCTCTTTAAACATCAGATAGTACATATGCGGGGGAAGCCTTATGAGCACAAAGAAAATGGAAATAACTACAACAAGAAGTCACATCACACCCAACCTCGGAGAGCTCACTCAGGAGAAAAAAACTTTGAATGTGCTGAATGTGGGAAAACATTCTGGGAGAAGTCAAACCTCACTCAGCATCAGAGGACACACACAGGAGAGAAACCCTATGAATGTGTTGAATGTGGGAAGTCCTTTTGTCAGAAACCACACCTTACCAACCATCAGCGAACACACACAGGAGAAAAACCTTATGAATGTAAGCAGTGTGGGAAAACATTCTGTGTGAAGTCAAACCTCACTGAACATCACAGAACACATACAGGAGAGAAACCCTATGAATGTAATGCATGTGGAAAATCCTTCTGCCACAGGTCAGCACTAACTGTACATCAGAGAACACACACAGGAGAGAAACCCTTCATATGCAATGAATGTGGGAAATCTTTCTGTGTGAAGTCAAACCTCATTGTACATCAAAGAACTCACACAGGGGAAAAACCCTATAAATGTAATGAGTGTGGAAAAACCTTCTGTGAGAAATCAGCTCTTACTAAACATCATAGAACTCACACAGGGGAGAAACCCTATGAGTGTAATGGATGTGGGAAGACCTTCAGTCAGAGGTCAGTGCTAACTAAACATCAGAGAATTCACACAAGGATGAAAGCTCTTTCAACACCCTAAATATTTAGAAACCTTCATCCACCCCTTCAAATTCATTATTTAGTTTTTAAAAATGAGATTAATGAAACCCAAAGATCATTGCAGATTACTCAAAAGCTATTGTACTTTAGATAATACTTGAATAAAACCTTATTAATGTTTTAAATATGTGGAAGCTTTTAAGAAAAAAGTTTTTCTCAAAAAGATAATACTGGGAAAATTTATTCATTTAAGTAATATGGAAAAAATCTTCATACAGAATTTATGTTGTCTGTCATATTCCGGATGTGATACCAAAATTTTATTGTAAATATAATGTGTGATATTCACTTATATTGGTATTCACAGTGTAATTTGAAGCTTAAAAAATGTTAAATGGCTGTAACGTTATACATTTATGTGAAGAGTCCTTAATGTGTGCAAACCTTATATAAGTATTTTAATATAACAGAAATTTGATGTATGCTTAATTTGTACATTAGAGCCCAACATACTTGTGAAGAGAAAGTAAGAACACTTAGTTAAACACTTATTGTGGTCTATATTAATATTTCCCATACAAAAATACCACCAATATCTTCATAGGTTTACATAATTACACTATGTACATGTAAATATATTTATACACACATCTAGTGGTGTGCTAGAGTGAGATCATACTGGCTTGGAAGTATTGCTGATTGTCAAATTTTCAGGAATTTTGTGAGCCAGGTAAACACAGTCATTGAAAAATTAAATTTATATAAAGTTACAATTAAGTTATATTAAAAACAAAGGTAATAAATACTCAACACTCGTTACTTCCTAATTATTTAATAAAATTGTACTATTCTTTAAGTTACTTAAATTATTGAATCTGCATGTAGAAAATACTGTATAATGGTGTGCTACTGCACAATCTCTTTCCAGCTGTACATTCAGTGCCATCATGTTGGTAGCTTGACTTTAGTGGAAGTATTTACACCATGGAAATTTAGTGGAAATTGTCAATGTCTACAAATTAGGGTTATTTTCTCATAGAACCTGTTGTCAAATATTTACCAGCACACCACTGTGGATATGAGTGTATATTTGGAAAATATAAAGTACAAGCCTCATACCCTTTCTCTTCCTGACATAAATAAATATATGGCTATGGCCATTATTGCTGAACTGCCTCTTCAATGAATAAGGCAAAAATATGTTTTTGTGTCATTTTTAACTACTACTGCATCATTTCTACTCTTAATACTACCTGCATCTTTTTTTAGAGTGTGGCCAGTATGTGTTAATTCACAACCTACCTTCTGACTTTTTTTGGCATATATGAATGAGTACAGCCATTATTACTGAACTACTACTTCCGTTAAAAAGCTAAACTTTTTTCCTGAGGTTTTTATGCTGCCTCTTGGTCAGTCAGGGCTGTAATTGCTGTTAATAATAATGATACTTCCATATATTTCACACAGATTAGCAGTGGTTACGAACAGTAATACTGCACTGTATAAACAAACAATAGTGACATGTAATGAAATACCTCTTATGCTCTTGGTATTTCATAGCTGTATCTATTTAGGCATGATATGTGTAACCCGAGTTTAATGTAATCCAGGGCCTATGTATTTGTTTTTCATATAATAGAATATTATATACTTTCTCCGTTGCCTTTGTCCTTCTGTTCCCTATGTTTCCTTGCAACTTGTTGATAAGCAGTTCCAAGACACTGTACGTCTTAATTGCTGGGCTCTGTTTTGTCCTTGCTTCCTTTTCCCAGATGATACAAGGGTAAATCCAGATTAGTCGGAGTTAATCATGGATATGCTAAGATTGTGTTGGGTGGTCATGTTAGTGATGAGATATTTGGAAAATATGCTGCAGTGCTTCTGGGAAAGATCTCAGCAATAAAATATTGTTATGACATGAGAAGACATGCCTCTATTCTACTGGGCTTTTTCGTATCTATATGTTGTATCAAATTACAGTTTGTGGCCCCAAAGGGCAGTAGCCTGAAGATAACAGTACACAGGATGGGAAAACCCTGGCTTGGAGGTGACATCCACCAAGATGCACAACTCTATCTGGACATTCTCTCTATGTGGACCTTATGATAATATGATAATAATGGTTTCTTATTTATTCTTAGGGCTGTTACTTAGAGCTGAAGGCATTCCCCTCAACAGAGGTGAATTCTAAGTGTTAATGTTCTATACAGTGATTTTTGGAAAGAATTATTTCTTTTGATAATTGTGTCAGCCATGGTTCTGGGGGAAAATAAAATTCTAGATTTTAATAGCAGGCTTGCAGTGGGTGGACTGCACAAGTTCCAGACACAGGAAGCCATTACAATTCTAAATTCTAAAGGGGGCAAAGGATGGAAACAAGTGTTACCAGATCCTAACAAAACTTGGTCTCATGAAGGAGGGGCCACTGTATAGTAGATATTGTCACTACCAGAAATGTGACACCAAATTGCTGGTGCCCCCTTTGGAGAACTCAAGCAGATGCCACCTGCAGGTAAGCCCAAGTGGGCACAGAGAAGATCTGGGTGGAGCCAGTGGAGAATAAGCAGCACAGTATTTTTAATTCCTGTAAATTCCTTTGTAAAGGCTCTGTATTAGAAATCTGTTCTACTAGCTGTGTTTTTGCTTTGTATTGCTCTGGTGTCATAAGTAAATTCCTTTTGGAACTGAGCATTGTGGCAGATATGTCTCTCCTTTAACATGCGTGAAACGTGTATTTTTGCATTATTCAGTGTCCATTTATGGTGTTTTTTGTTACATGTGATGTGAGGGAAACAGCTCTGTATTCCAAATAAATAGCCATTTGTCCCCGCACTGCTGATTTTTTTCACCCTTTTTCTTGCTGGCTTGATAAGGCATTTTTTAAATCACATCCTTACATTTGGTCTTGTCTAAAACATTGACTGAGATATTTGGTCCATACCAAAAGTCCTTGATATTTGGTCTTATCCAAATGTCCATGGAGATACTTGGTTCACACCAAAATGTCTTTGGTATTTGATCCTGTGCAAAACATCCATGGAGGCATTTGGTCCTGTTGAAAATGTCCACTGAGACATTTGGTCCATGGTTCATTAAATAATACACTTAACTGTTAAAATTTTATTCGCTATTACTATAACTTACGATGAATTTTGGATTTCACATTTATTCTTCTTTTTCTTTGTCATGAAGTTTGGCAGGGATACTCTTAAAACTCAATGAGCAATTGACTTAACCTGATTTTTGGCTTTATATTTATTATATCTGTTAACAATTTTAGTTATACAAATTTGATTTTGTCAATATCACTGTGAAGTTGGTGACTGTATTTGCTGTGACCACTAAGTACTTGTGTGATAACTTTATTGCTTTGCTGTTTATCTTTTGACATTTCAGTAAATCTCCAAATTGAAGGAGAATACTCTACCATCAGTTTTGAAATTTGTTATGCCCCTGTTCCACTGTGTTGTCTGTCCTGTGATCAGCCTTCCATACTGATCTGTATGTTCCAAATTTCTGGTGGAAGTCTTGAAAGATTCTGGTCTGCTGCCTGTGCCACACCTCCAAGGACATACCCTCCCTCAACATAATCTGTTAGGTCATGTGAGTTTTCTTCTGCATTCTCCATAATGTACTTCAGTTTTACTTACATCTTCCAAAGGTACAAATTGAAGTCCAAAGAACACGCATGCACTTAACAGGAGTTACTTCTTATTGTCATTTACTTGCGTGTTAGATCCCCCCAAAATTGTTGTTCACCACAGTGGTTGTGGAATGACTCCTTTTACTTGCACATTTGCATTTAGTAGTAGTCAGATCACATTTATATTTGCAATATCAAAATCTATCATGCACAATGAAGGGATAATGTGATTTCTTTCCTGTGCAAATATCTGTAGATGGCTTCTCATCTTTTATTGTTTGGGCATTAATCAATGGCATAGTATAACCCAATACTACACTATGTATAGTAAATAACTGAACTCTGTTGGTGCTCTCTTGAGGGTGTCATCATTCAATAATGTAGTACTGGCACTTAAATATTGAATATTGTCCAGAATTGTGTAAATAAGAATTATTTCATCTCAACAACCAGAATTGTGCATAAGAAGTGGTTATTCATGTCTGGTCACTTCTCTGTAACTTCAGCTTCATGAAATGAAGTTGAGTTTGGTGGTCAATATCTGTTTTTTAATCTTTACATGCCTCTTTAATAAGTTTTCTTTCTGGTAGCATTAACAGGATCTTTTTATCACAAATATGGAGAACTCTTCGAAGTACCCGTGATGGTGTTACATTTGGCTCTTCCACATGTTTTAACTTATTCAGGGTTTTCCTTACTCCCCTTTTAGTACCATCTTTCTGCTGATGTTTTCCATTCTGTCTTGAATTTTATTCAAATCCAGACTAGTTATGTATCAGGAATTACAGATTCTCCTACTTTACAGCATGAATACCTTTTAGTACTATCTTTGTAAAAGGAATGGAAATAGCAGGAAAAACTTGTAATGTAGCACTGGCTTTTCTTTATGTGAGTATACTATTTCTGCCATATTGTGTGGGGAATTTTCAAATGAGGATATCATATTGCTAAGGAACGGAAGGTGTTTTTTTTTTTTCCTTTTCTAGATGACCAATGATTGCTAGTTTACTAGTAGGAATAATTCTTACTAATGTCATACGGATTTGACACCTGGTTGGGCCACCCTGGATCAGCCAGTAGGTAGGCACCAGGCAAGGGCATAGTGGTCCATGCTGTCAGGTAAGTATGGGTGTTACACCTACTAAAACCTCTACAAATAGCAGCAGACTCTTGCAGTCTACTGCAATCATGCCTTTGTAGGACATTGATTCAAGAGACACATTAGACATTAACCCTGAACAATGGGATAGCTTTATTGGGGTTTTGGATATCTGGTATTCCCCACATGACAGCTGTTACACCTGACTGCTAGGTGGTAGGAGAGTGACACCCATTCTCACTCCTGAAAAGCCAGATGCTCTTTTTGAATAATTTTTTTCCTTTTATACTTTATGGTTATTGAAAACAGCCATACCCAACCAAATGCCCAGTGATGCATTAACTGCACAATTGGATCTTGTATTACACGATTCAGTACATGGTTTGTCGTCATCTGTGAATTTCTCTAACTGTGAATTCCTCAGTACACATAGCTAACTCCAGTCCCACTCTTAATGCACAACTCGAAGTCTGACTCATCTGCCTAATCCCATGTACCTTTTCCAGCTTGTATACTGAGGCAAGAAGGATGATTGTGAATATAGCCAAAACACAATTACTGACCAATGAAACATGATAGTATTTTTGTGTATTAATCCTGTAAACCAAAAGTATAAGTAAATATTATAGGCTAAATTTCGAGGACCATTTGGCCTGGACCAAATACACTGATGGAAGCCCTGGCTGGTGTGGCTCAGTGGATTGAGTGCCACCTGGCAAAGCACAGGGTTGCCAGTTCGATCCCCAGTCAGGGCACATGACTGGGTTGCAGGCCAGGTCCCCAGTAGGGGGCGTGCAAGAGGCAACCACAGATTGATGTTTCCCTCTTGCCCTCTCTTCCGCTCTGTCTAAAAATAAAGAATAATTAAAACAACTCTGGAAAAAATAACAAACTGATGGAATGTTTTTTATATGACAAATTTCAAGACATTTTTGCTGTGGACTAAATGTCTCTATGGACATTAGGGACAGGACCAAATTTCAAAAAACTTTTGGCATGGACCAAAAGTCTCCATGGACATCTTTAACAGAACTAAATATCCATTAATTTGATCATGTACTTAAATATTATGTAGTGGCTATTTTGGCTGCTCAATGCAACATTTTTATGTTCTAGTAATATGTCCAGTCCTTCAGAGCAAATCCTGGCTCCACATTTGTATTAATCTAGGAATGATCTTTTTTACAAACTAAACCTATGGGAACCCATCCTAGGATTTTTTTTTTTTTTTTTTTTTTTTTTTTTATTGAGAAGTCTAACTACATACTTTTGAGTCCTTATTGCTACCAGCAACTGTATCAGGAAAATAACATTTGTAGGGGAGAAGTATTATAAAGAAAAATAAAAATCGAAACAGTCACGTAAAGGACAGTTTGATTTTAAAGAGCATGGAGAGGGAAAGACCTCACTGGGAAGGCTGCAGTGGAGAGAGTGAGCTATTTGGATAGCTGGAGGAAGTACGTGTGCACACAACATTTATACAGTCAGATGTCAGTTCTCAACTGTCTAGGTTCTCCAGCAATACTGTTCTCAACCAACTTGTTCAGGGAAAAATGTCTTGGTTGTTGAACAAAACTTTGGTTCTCTATCCTTGACCCAACAACCTTTTCATGCTGATACCTGTATAATTAGTCATGTGTCACTAAGGTGACAAAGGAGATTTGGTTTTCAAACAAAAGTCTTCTTAAACAGTTTTTTGGAATGAATTAAGTTTGAGAACTGAGGTTCCATTGTACATCTATAACCAACAATTTTATGTATCTGTGATTTTTGTTTCATGAAACAACACCCAGATTCACACAGAGAGAGACTGCTGTGGGACTGTTGGGCAAGGGCCATTTTTTCCTGCATCTGAGCAGTGCTACCTTTCTGGTGTTGGACTGGCCCCCACCATCCCAGGCATCAGCCTGGGGAGTGGCACAGCTCCTCCCTGCCAACACCCTGAGGCCCTTCCCTGCCAGGATTGCTCTGGGTGGACATGTCATTTTTACTCTTCCATCCCGAGTTCAAAGTACCGACTTTATTAAGAAGCTCTCGAGGAAGTTTGGGCAAGCTTGCAGAGTGCCAAAGACACTGGCAGAAGTTGAGTTGTGTGACTTTCAGAAGACAAGACATTTTTTCCCTGTGTGCCTGAATGGCACAACTGTTCCTGTGTTGGACCCAACCCAATTCCCCAAAATATCAGCTTGGAGAGAGGCACTGGCCCCACCACCAGAGTTCAGAATGCCTGTGCAGGTAGAGCAACCGGCCTGGGTATACTCTGAAACATTTGCTGAGTGACCTCAGAATTAGCACAGGTGCTAAGTTAGAATCTGTATACACCAAGTGAGTATCATTTCCCCTACATGGTGACACTGAAAATGTGCCTTACACAACTCACAAATTGCCTGAAACTCTTTCAGAGGCTAAGCCTAATGGGCAGCCAGCAAATAGTGATGGGTCTCAGGGTTCCTTGGTACTTTCACTGACCTGCCCAGTACTAAGTATGGGTGAGAGCAAGTCTTGGTGTATGGCTTGACCTTTTCCATAAGAACTCAGTACCACCACAGGCAACTACCACCCAGGGGTGGCCTTGTGGCTACCATTTTAGCCCAAAGCTGGTCACAGTCAGCGTCTGCCATTGATGTCTACCAGAGTTCCTCCCAAGAGGCCCCAGAACCAACATACCCACTAGCTGGCTTCAAATCACATCAGAACACAAATTGATTAGCTCCACAAGTGGCATATCCAAAGGGACATCTAGACAAGCGAGGTGGCTTAGCACCAGCCCAGCACAAGTGTGCAGTTGGAGAGTGTGGGCTGACAGTGCTCTGAGGGCATGGGCTGGAAACTGGGGATCTGTGATTATTGTAGCCCAGACTTGGCCCACTTCCTTGCCATACCACTGCAAAGGAAAAATGGAGCCCAACCCCCCACTGCCTTCAGGAGCCAGGGAGATCTGCAAAACTGGCTGGGCAGGCCTAAGAATCCCAAGCAGGGGGCCTTTTTTTCTTTTGTTAAAATTTTACCAAGAGTAAGACAGTAAGACCTGGGGCTGAGAAAAAAACATCCAGAAAGAAGTCATAAGGCAAAACACCAACAGAT